CTTATCAGAAGGTTTGTGTAATTTTCTTCAACAAAGTTCAGATAAACACATGCACACATGGACTAAGCTTTCAGAGTAGCAGGTTTAGAAGCACTGTGTGTGGTTAGCTAAAAAAGAGAGAAAAGTTAGTTTCTAATGGTAAATGGATCAATTTTAAGCTTAATAATGATCAAATTTAAGTTGGTTAGGAGGGAAGTGAGAGCATGTGGCGAGTAATGATCATGATAAAGGGGCATTTCATCAGAGGTCTCCAAAAAAAGTCTTTACAAAATAAGATAATTAGAGCAAAAACATAGGAAATGCAACTGATCAGTGAATATGTCTGTTCTATTTTACTAAATTTATATATCTGAAAGGCCAATTTTTATGTAGGAGGTGAAATATGAATAATAGACCCCACCACACAAAATCATTTTATGAGTACCATAGCTAGAAGAATAGTACAGCATATTCACAAATTCATATGTGTGTATATACACATGAATTTGTGAAGCTCTTTCCTATAACTTCGACCTTAGGTCAACCCTTCGAAAGAAGCACCCATAATTTTTATGCTTGATTATATTGCTAATATCTCTAGCAAATCTGATACATTGTTGAAAGGCAATTGTCCCATGAACCCCCAAATGAGTAATGAAATTATTAATCATCTTAATGGTAGAACTGAGAAGAGAACCAGGGCACTCATCACATTCTGTCAGTATCTCAGCCCAACTGAATGCTCCTCAAGTTAGACAATATATATCATTATTTAAATCATCTGCATATCAGACAGGCTATGGTTTAATAAACACTTCTATTTCCATTATTCTACTCTATGGCTCTTAGCCCAGCAAAAATCCAACTTTGATATACATAGTTGTCTGGGAGGTATAAATTATCAAGGGTGTGCCCTCAACAAAATATTCTAAGGTAAAAAGGTATATGGCACAAAGCCATGACATTAATGGATGTGATAAGTACTGGCACGAACTCCTGTACTCAAAATTACTTTATGAACAACGTAGCTCCGGGACTGCAGGTTCTACATGCCTTTGTTTATTGATGTTCTTTACCATTGCAATAAAAAGCCAACATTCATTCAGTGGCCACAGGGTTTTGGCACAATATAAGCCTCTTTCATACTGTGTGTGTTTGTGTGTGTGTTTTGACAAAATGATACAGATTAAAAAAGGAAAATATGAACATTATTACCTTTTAAAAAGGCTATGAGAAAGAACATACCGCAAGGAAAATAAACATTGAAAATTGTTTGTCTTTCATTTTATTAAGAATTTACTGCGCTTTTTATTATTTATATAATAGTATAATTATTAATAATGGCATTATTATTATCGATAAAATAGGTGAAATAGACTATTTCAGTAGCCGTGTATGCTATTTAAATTATCTTCTTGCTTGAATTGCTGAATTGGCTTCAGAAAATGATCTAGCTAAGCAACATCTACGTCTCACAGTAGCTTCATCTTAATTTATACAAGAAGCACTTTCTGAAGTCCTCACATTAAGTTTTAATTAAGTAACACTTTCATCTTGAAAAAGCTGGCTGGCTGGCCTGAATTGGAAGTGGACCTGTTTGAAAGGATACCAGTTCAGTTAAAGCCCCAGAGAGGACCAAAATACTGGCTTCAAGTGCCCTCTTGTGGCTGATAACAGAATAATCAAACATAATTTGAAGCCTGGAATAAACTGATACATGCCAATTTTTTCTTTTGCCACTTATTACTTAAATAATTTATCAGTAATTTACTAGGCACTGAGGATTAAAAGATAAATTGGATATAGTCCATGTCATAGAGAACTTCATAATAGAACAGAGACGAAGATGACTACGATAATTTTAATCTTCCCTGCTAAGTGCTACTATAGTATTTATTCTATTTCAATCAAATTACTTTGGCCATCTTCACTTTTGTAGCTATTCTTATGGTAATTAACATTAGATAGAAATTCCTAAATAATAAAAGCAGCTATGTTCCACACAAGTGTAATTCATGTACTGTATCTCTATACAACTAGAAAACAGCTTGTAAATTTTATATTTTAAAAATTATTTCTAAAATGACATGAATCCATATTACTTTTTCTGTTTATTCTATTAATATTTAATGTTTTGTTATTTGCATTCCTTCCAGGTCAGCAGTATCAGACCTATTATGCAGATAACGAAACTGAGGTGGAGGGTTCAGTCTTACCTGGTAATTCGGTATCAGAGATTTGAGACTAGAAACTGCATTAATTGCACTCATTAGTTTTCTTGGCAGATTCATCCATTGACTTTCGTGTGGTTTCTAAGGGTAAATATGAGGGGTTTTATGAAGTCATTGAGTAACACGAGTCATTTGCAAGACAGCTTTTACACACACACACACACTCTCCCAGGATCACTTCCAACATCAGCTACTGAACAGCTGTCACAGCTCTCTTCAGTTGGATGGAACTTTTGATCAAGTTATGAAAAGTCCCATATCCAATTACCAGTCCCCAGCATCACCCATTTCCTGCCTTGGCACTGCTCAATCAAATGATACACTTGTAATGCCAAAGCAAAGTGAATTACATAAATAATTTAGTTGGGTCTTTTTTAATCCTATACGAGAAGCTTACAGTAATCCTTATTAGTATTTTACTCACCTGGTACAGTCATGTAACAGTAATCCTATTGAATTTCCAACATTGAATGTGAACGGGTGCAAGATTTTTAAATATATTCCTAGCTTACAGAAATAAATCATGTGAGTCAAGATGTTCATAAAGTTGGTTTATTTGAAAGATATCAATGATTCTGGATACAAACTAGAGAACATTTATAAGATGTCATAGAAGCCTATAGGTGGCAGGGTAGAGGTGGGGGAGTTCTCAGCACTATCATTTTAAAGCTATGCTCTCTAGTATTCTAAATTGCTGTGATGTTCTCAATTCGGTTATTTTAAAATCCCATTTTAAAATATTTTCATGTTTATATATTTTTGAGGTAATAAAATAGTATCTCTGTAAGCAAATTTGGTTTATTTCCATATACAGTACAATGAAATAAGAACTACCCGCTATTTCTCACCTTTGCTGTGTACTATTTACGATTGTTTTCATTGTGATAATTGGTAGCATCTCTATCATTTACTTTTAGAACATTAGTTATATGAGATGAAGTGAAACAAAAGACTCATTTGGGTAGGTTCTGTGATTGTGTGCTTGTCTCAGGCTCAAAACTTTACATAATTAACCCCAGTTGGTTCAGACTACACTTTAAATTCATCAGAAAGATGAAATTGTTTTCGGAACAGTGAACCAAAGATTAACTTGAATCTTTTTCTCAACTATACCCAATTTATACTTTTTCTCGTATTCCCATACTGTTCATTCAGTTGTTTCTTCCTTCATTTGTTCCCTTGCCCATTCATCCACAAATAAGCATCATGCAAAGTTGTCTCCTCCTCTCCAGTAGAGGCCTGCAAAAGTTCAAGAACCACTGTGTTGAAGAGGAATTACACATAGCTACTTTTTATAGAATCAGTAGTGGGGAATCTAAGTCAGATAGAGGAATGTCCAAATGTTTTAGCAACTAAAGCTTAATTACGAAGGGCAAACAGGAATGAGATGCATAAGAGAAAGGAGGTTTCTAGGTTGACAGATTTTCTAAGGTACTTAAGGATGAAACAACTTTATAGTGGGAACTCCTTAGTCTAACTAGAGAAACAAGATGCCTAGGTTTTAATGCTGTTTCATCCTGCATTGAGAAATTTTAAGCAGGAGAATAAAATAGCCAGACTTGCATTATTAGGGCCACTTAGGCAACTGTGTGAATAGGGATTGGAGGGGGCATAGATCAACTAAAGCAAAGAAATACTAAGTCTGTTGCAACAATCTGGGCTTGAACTAACACAATTAAGCGGGCACATAGTGGATGATTGCCAGCCTCGCTACACTCACAAGTGTCCTCAATCAAAAGCATGAGCACCAGCTGGGTGCTCGTCAGAAATACAAAATCTTAAGCCATGGCCCTTATCTTCAGAATCAGCATTTCAGTAAGCTCCTCAGGTAATCTATGTATCTGGGAGGTACCATTCAGAAATAATATAGCAGGGGCCGTTACTTGGGGAAAAAAAAAAATCATCATTTTAGGTAAGGTCAGTTTGAAGTGAGGAAATCCTAAAAAGCTCATCCATAGCAGTTGGGTATATGGGTCAGGAGGCTGGGATGAAGTCTGGTTTGGAGATACAGTTTAGCATTTTTCAACCTGCATTTGAAGTCACGGTCTGACCCAAGTTTCCTGAGATTTGCCCAGGAAAAGTATATATCCAGTTAGTGAGGCAGAGGGCCCCGGAGAAAGCCCTAGGAAACACCATTATCTAAAAGTCCCAGACAGCGAAAGGTACTCCACAAGAAACAGAAGGAACTTCCAGTGGTAGGAAAAGCAATGTGAGGAGTGGGGAGAGAGTTCCAAGTGGCAGGATGGTCAACATTCGCATTTTCCAGTAGAAGTCACATAACAGACAGGAATCCATTGGATTTGGCAATCCTGATGTCAGAGTAAAGCTAATGGGTGGAGATTACTTCCCATTAAGTTCTTCCTTGACCTTAGTATGTGGGGATGCAATTTATAGATTCTGCATTCAAAGTTCAGATGAGTAGAGTATGTGGAAGGAGCTTGGTATGAAGCCAACTTGCAAATGTTCTCTCTTCCATTAGATGGTAAATTCTTTGAAGCATAAGGAAGGCACATAAAGATGAGTAAGACCCAGTACTATCCCTCAGTATATAAACAATATGAATAAGACAACTGTCGTACAAGATGGGGCATTACAATTTATAAAATATTATGGGGACTCAAAAGAGGAATACACCATATGCAGTCAGAAAAGGTTGCTTACTTCTCAGCTGTTAACATAGAGAACTGTACATACTAAATACTTAAACTACATTAATTGCTTTCTCTCTCAACAAATTTGGTGAATTAGTAATAAAGACAAAGTCCCATTCATTTCAAAATCCAAGCAAACTTCAAACTCATTCATGAGATATTTATTAAAATAACACATTTAGGGAAAAAAATCAATACAATGTATACATCATTACCGAAAAGTGTATACCATCATACAAAAAAGGATTTTATTTTGGGAAACTGTTTTCTAATTTATGGCAAGTTTTACTTTCAGAAATAAAACCACGGAACAACACAATCTAATTCAATCTTAAAGGCTGGCATGCTGAGCAAGGAATGTTCTTATTCTTTGTAGGAGCTCCTTCTTTACACTGTCAGGTACCAGGGCTGAAATACAAAAATAAAAAAATAAGAATAAGAAGGTTCCAATTAATACATGTCAATTTAAGATTTGATAAACAACATACGAATTTCATAAATAACCCTCAAGGTCAATTAAAAAATAGTTAACATAATCTGACAAAACAAAGTGCCTACTTGCAATTCGTTTTTATAATAAACTATCAATACCTAAATGCACTGCATGTTGATGAGAACATAAGAAAATTCTTTAAACTTGGAGTAAAGAACACCATTTTTAAATGCAGAGGCTATAACAGATGGAAATATCTGATTAAAACACAGTAACAATTTATGCTTAATAAAAATCTCCATAAGCAAATCCAAAGGATAAAAACTGGGGAACTGTTCTTACAGAAAAAGGTGATCTTTCTATTGTACAGTTGTTTCACACTGAGAAGGTAAAGATCAAAAAGTTAATAGCAAAAGAAATGAAGAAAAGGAGAGATCCTGAACATAAAAGGGTCTGAATCTCAGAAGAGAAATGAAATTAAAACCACATTCAGATAGCATATTTTACCAATCAGAGGCAAAAATACAAAGGTCAATAATATACTGTGTTGGCTGGGTGAGATGGTTCATGCCTATAATCTCAACAGTCTGGAAGACTGAGGCAGGAGGACTGCCTGACCCCAGGAGTTCAAGACCAGCCTGGGTAACATGGTAAAACCCTGTCTCTACAAAAAATAAAAAAATTAGTGGAGCATGATGGTGTGTGTCTGTGGTCCCAGCTACTTGGAAGGCTGAGGCAGAAGGATCACTTAAGCCTGGGAGGTCAAGGCTGCAGTGAGCCATGATCATGCCACTGTACTCCATCCTGGGTGACAAAGCAAGACTCTATCTCAAAAATTAAAAAATATACAGGTATATATATTTATACATATATAAACATATACATTTAAATATATTCATATAATATAAACCTATAATATATATGTATATACACATACTGTGTTGGCAACATTGTGCTGGCAAGACTAAGGGAGCAGTCTCATATTAACTGGAGTATAAACTGGTATGTTTTAGAAGATAATCTGTATTTTACTGAAATAATTAATGTTTATACACTGTGAGCTAGCAAAAATCCAAAAAATTACAACAGTTGTATGTTATACTTTTGTTCCATTTGACAATTATCTATTCAGAACATTAAATCATAAATGCAAAAAAGTGGGAGTTAACTAAAATGTCTAATGGATTTACTTGTATTCAGGGGAAATGGAAAATCTGATATAGTTCAGTATTTCCATAAAAAATTATACAAATTTAATAAGGCAGATTTTCCTCCTTATAAACTGTTTAGTTTAAGCCTACCTACAAATCAAGACCACATAATTAATTCAAGTCTACTGGAAATGTAATCAATATATATACTAAAAATAGTTTAAATCAAAATTATGGTGATTGAGAACAGGAGCAGTTAGTTGCCTTGAAATAAGATGTGACTATAAAGGAATACCATGAGGGAGGTTTTGGGGTGAGGGAACTGTTTGTTCTGTATCCTGATATGGTAGCTACATGAGCCTATACATATGTATAAAGTTCACAGAACTGTGCACTAAAAAAAAATGACAATTTTACCGTGTTAAAAAATATGTCTCTGGGCCAGGTGCAGTGGCTCATGCCTATAATTTCAGAACTTTGGGAAGCTGAGGCGGGTGGATCACGAGGTCAAGAGATCGAGACCATCCTGGTCAACAAGGTAAAACACTGTCTCTACTAAAAAATACAAAAATTAGCTGGGCATGGTGGCGTGCGCCTGTAGCCCCAGCTACTCGGGAGGCTGAAGCAGGAGAATTGCTTGAACCCGGGAGGCGGAGGTTGCGGTGAGCCGAGATTGCACCACTGCACTCTTGTCTGGGTAATGAACGAAACTCCGTCTCAAAAAAAAAAAAAAAAATATATATATATATATATATATGTCTCTGTGCAGAGAACCCAGGCTCCAGCTGTGGCTATAACAAAGGGTTTTTATACAAGAAAAATAAAGTGAATTAACTCTGAAAAAAAAAGTTTACCCTTAGTAACTGTAAGAAGACTAAGAACATAAGCTAAATCATCTGTTTTTACTTCTCTTTTCTGTATTTGCTTATTCTCTAGCCGGTGAGCTACAAGACATTGAAATATTCAAGGTTCAAGTACAGAAGGAGAAGCAAAGGATAGTTTCTAACCTGTATAGCTGGTTCCTAAATAATGTTAACAGACTAAGTGTAAGTCACAGAAGAAAACAAAACAACAACAACAAAAAGAAATTAGAGAAATTTAAAAATATAAATTCACAAGGGGAACAATAATTTTTTTTCCCTTTCCCTGAGACATATGTGAAGAAAAAGTCAGGTTTTCCAGTTGTAAACAGGACTATAGAGATGGCTGAAAAGGACCACAGGATTCTGTAGCTTATTCCCAGCAGGGAAGAGTTAGAACTTCATGTTCTATAGTAATAATTTTCAAACTTATGTACTTTTCACACTTAAATTCTTTTCACAGTTCCATGTGAGAAAACAACTTCGGCCATCTAATTTCCCTTCTGGTTACAACCCCAACTTCATCAGAGTAAATTAAAATAATGTAGTTATATCTAAGATGACAATAATGTAGCTCCTGACATTTACTACACATTATCAGTTTTAATGTATTTCCTATCTTACCTTTGCCTTCTGTAAACAAGCCCATTAAAGGCTGAAATTAAGAAGGCTGCATTGTGAATCTTAAATATGAATTACTCTGAACATGAAGTCATGGAGTTAACAAATTCTTAAGCAGACATTCAAGAAGACAGACCTTCATTAATTTTTAAAAAGGAAAGAGATAGAGGAGCAATGACTCAGGGGCTGGAATAAGACTTTGAATTATTAAATATTTGAGTCATGCCATATCTGATAAGGTTTATAAATCCTAGATTTATGTACTATTTCTCTCTACAAAATCCCATATTTAAAAAATTATTTGTTTGAACAACTGTATCAACTTGCATTGGTGCACTGTTCTAGAGTCCAAGACTACTTGAACCTTAGTATCTCATTTGTTACTCCCCAGACTCTGCTAGCAAGGCAGGAAGGCAATTTTAACTCTTTCCACAAGAGGCAATTCAGGTACCTAAATGATTTTGGAAAGAGTGCTTTTCCTTACAAAAAGAAAGAAAACCTGAATCAGCAAGAGATTGAAAAAAAATCACATCTGCAGCACATCTCCTTTAACACAATCTGTATTCCTTACCTCTGCCTTTTGGAGTGATTTCAGCCACCAAGTCATCAACAGTAACGTGTTCTAGTCCTTTTTCTTTAATTACCTCTTATGCAAAAGCAAAAAACAAATCATATCATTTAAAATCATTATCTGTAAGAAAGATTTTCATAGAGGAAGGGTTAAGATCATGTTTTTAAAGTGCAGACTGGTTTAAAAAAAAAAAAGGACACTGAAAATTTAGTTCAACCTCACAAACATATCAAGTATTCTCTAGATCTAAAAGATAAAAATCTGTTCATACGTCTCAGCTAAATAACTTGTAACTTAATAAATAATTGCAACACATAATAAATCTAAACTGTAATGTTCAAGTCTAACATCTGTAAAATGCTGGAAACTTATAACTGTTATAATTAACATTTTCTAGATCCCTATTAGGTGCTTTACAACATTTAATATTCACAATGATCTAACAGGCTAGGCATTTTACCACTTCACAGGTGAGGCAACTGAGGCTTAAAGATTAAATAAGTCATCCAGACATGAGTTGAAATCCAGCTCTATTCTTTTAGTAATGAAAATCGGCATGGTTTTAAAGTCTATGCTTTTGCTAATTTGTCACATTGCCTTCTCACAGTTAACATATAGTTTATTACTTTTATTTGTAGAAACCATTACAACACAATGGGGATTCATTAAAAATATCCAGAATTCCATTATATCAAAAGCTGAGCCACAGAAGAGGCTCTTCTTAGCCATATGTGTAATCTATCAAATGGTATCAACAATACCCAGCAATTTAACAAGCTTCCCTTCCACTTTTTCTTCTTAAGTTTATTCTCTAAGCTTTCATAGATGAATTTTTCAGATTTACATCGTTAAAGACAGGAGAGAGATAATTTATATGTCTGTCAACCTAAAGTGGTCTATTTGTTAAATGAAAATATAAGAAATAACAATGTTGCTGAAAGACAGAAGATTCCACATTTTGATGCCAGAGAAAATCTTAAGTGCTCATGCTTCACTTGCTTTAAAACAGATACAACTTCTAAAACTTTGGGAATTAGTAGGTCTACATATGCCCCTGAGAAGAGGAAACCATTATAAGATTAAATTCCATATTGTTTAAAATTATGCTTGAGTACTCAATATACCTTAAAATAAGCAACCCCCAAACCAATACAGATCAGAAAAATGGGATTTGTTTATCTTCCAAATGAAACTGATTACCTTTACAGTGTGCCTTCAACTGATCCTTCCAGCCACATTCAATTAATTTAGCTCTCAGCAACTCTTTGAGACTGTTGAAAAAGAAGTGTTTTCAAATTGAACAATGTATAATATCTTAGGAATGTTTGAAGCAAAGGTTCAGTGCTCAACTAAAAATTTCCTGCCTTCCAGTTAAAAAACTTTAACTGTGGCCTAATCTTGGTTCTATTGCTAGTTATTTGATGTTATATGCCAAGTACTTAAATTCTGGGCCTTTCATTTCATCTGGGTCTCACTTAATAAGTAAAATTAAATGAAGTGGAGGGGCTAAAATACTTTTCAAGAAGCTCTATTTTTTTTGGCCACCTTATATATTTTCTACCATCCTATACTAATAGGAATATCATGGGTCTTGTACAATGTCTAGAGAGTATTAACTGAACTTGGAGCAGCTGCACTTTTGAAACCTTCAAATTCCAAAATCCATCTTTAACTTCAACTTCTTATCCTTTCACTCTCCTATTTCCCCCATCACCTCTAACTTCACAGACTACCCCCTTTTTTGATCCCAGCCTATCGGGCCTTCTGAACTACAAAATGACAATTGTATTTCATTGACTGTAAGACTGTTGTTGCCCCCACATTTTAATGATTCAGTAATTGGCATGCCTCTCATAATTTAATTGGCAGTTTTCTTTTTCTCAATGGGAAAAACGTAGCAGTGTATATGCAACTAATGGCATCACAGGTGCAATAAAATATTTTCTAATCCTTCTGCCATATCCACTTTTACAAATCTTCAGTCCTCAAACTAAATCATTTAATTTTTCAGCTTAAAAAGGTCACATCCCAAACAAATTCTTTCCCAGCAAACCACTTTCACTATCCCTAGACATCCACTATGTGACCATTCTCACTTGATATTTAATCAGGAATTTCAATCTTAATAGGGCCAAAATCTAACTTTTGACTCTATAACATTTCATCCCTGTTCATTTCTCTTCTGAGAATGGCAATTCCATTTTTCTGGTTCCCCAGACTAGGAATCTCTGCATTATCATTCCACTTAGCTGCCTTGTTAACACCACACACCCAATCTATGAGCAAATCCTATTGGGTTCAAGAATTCCTATGTTTCTCATCATCTCTGCCATTACTACCCTAGTTCAAGCCATAATCTCTTCTCTAGACTATTATAGCATTCTAGGTTGTCTCCCTGCTTCTTCCCTTGTACACTTAAGTCTTCTCCTGTGCTCAAAAACCGCCAGTGCCTTCCCGATTTACTCAGAATAAAATTCCAAGACTTCATTACAGCCTACATGATCTGCCTTCTCCCCAGCTATGCCACTGACTTTATCTCCTGTCTCCCTCACCCAATTTACTCAGTCTACCTAGCATCCCTGTGCTCCTCAAAAATGTCAAGCAAGCTCCTATCTCAGGAACTTAGAGTCCCTGTACTCCCTTACATCCTTCTGATTTGTTGTTTTTTCTATCTAAAATATTACACCTCTTTATTCTCTGCTTGTTTCTCTAGTGCTCATCACCATCTGACACATTACGCATTTTTAACTGTCTCCTCCCATTAGAATGTAAGCTCCATGAAACACAGACTCCATTTTTGTCTACTATTGTTATGGCATATAATAGAAACTCAGTAACTTTAAGCTGCATGAATGAAAAAACAAACAAACAAAAATACATAATCCATACTCATTACCAGCAGTACTATCCTCTTACATTACCCAAGACACAGTTCTAGATGCCTCCCTTCCTCATTTTAGGATTGCTGTTTCTACATTTTATTAAAATTCTAAAAGCTCTGTCCCATTTTTGCAGCTTTCCATTTTCAACCCCATAGAATCTTCTACCTCATTTTTCTTCCATCTATCTTGACCCTTTCAAGTCCAAGTTCCACTCCAAAAGAGTAAGATTCCTAAAAGTGTGAACGTGATCTATAGTCATTCCCTTTCTTAAAACCTTTTAATGATGCCCATCATTCAAAAATAAAGTCCGCAACAGATGTACCTCTTTTATTATGTGAGCTTGTATCTGATCACCTTAATGCCCAGGTAGAGTCGAAAGATGCCCCCTCTTCCTTATACATATTTGTCTTATTCACTTTATAACTCTGCTTCTGGTAGCCTTTCTTGATTCCTCATCCCCGTCTTTGCACTTCTAAACCTGTTCATTCTGCAGATATTTACTTGGTTAATTGTGAGCCACACAAAGCATTAGACGCCCAGTATACAATGTTGTTTTTTTGCCGTTAAAGAACTTAAATTACACTGGAGGATACAAACTAGCCAAGTACATGGTGAGAATACAATGATGATTAAAAGCCACCTTGGAAACAAGGTATTTGGGACTTAATAAAAACATTCCTTGAAGAGGCAATGTCTAAATTAGACCAGATGAGCTAGAATTAGCTAAAAAGGAAAAGAAGGAAGAGTGTTTTAGAGAGTAGAAACGGCACTTGCTGCTTCAAGGTTAAGAGTCTAACAAACGAAGCTCGTTTCACAACGTTGTCTCCCTGTTAAAACCCGGGTAACATTATGTCTCCAATTGTAATTCAGGCACGTGCTTTTTCTTCTCCGTCAAATTATTCTTTAAGCGTCATTTCTTGCACATCTTTCTACATCACCACTTCCCTCCAAGTCCTTCAATAGTGAACAAACCTAAATCATTTTTTCCAGATGTTAGAAATATAAACTTTTTATAATCTCAATAGTCTGTAATTCTTTCCAGTGACATGCTTCATTTCTTGTTTTGATTCTTAGAAGGTAACTACTAAAGATGGTGAAATGTAATTTATTAAAACAATCTATTACTTACCGTTCTCTTTCTCCAGTTTCTATCAACTTTTGGTTAATCGCTGCTCTCATCTGCGCATCTTTGTTCATCTTGCTAACCTGGATATCAACATTTATTTTCAGATATAGAATATTTACAAAGCATTTACTTTAAATCCTCTAGGCGAGCATCCTAACATGTTTACCATTCTATCAACTGAAGGGGTGATATATTTCAAATGTGTTAACAACATTACTACTCATTATTAAACACTTATGTACTTGGCACTGGGTTAATGCAGTGTGGGTTTTCTTTAAAAAAAAAAAACAACAACACACATTTAATTCCCAGAACGTATTGTTACATATTTATGTTAATAAAATAATTTGTATTTTACTGATGAGGAAACTGAGGCACTGAGATAGAAGGTGGTAAAGGCAGAATTTGAACTCAAGTACTTTGAAGCTCCAAAACTGAACATAACTGACGATCATTTTTGCACACTGGCTGCATCCAAAAATTGGGAGAAATCATATAAAATACCAGAAAAAAAAAACAACACTATTAGTAATAATAATAATGCCAAGCGAGGTTGCTCAGGTGTGTAATCTCAGCACTTTGGGAGGCCGAAGCAGACGGATCACCTGAGGTCGGGAGTTTGAGACTAGCCTGACCAACAAGGAGAAACCTTGTCTCTATTAAAAATACAAAATTAGCCGGGCGTGGTGGTGCATGCCTGTAATCCCAGCTACTTGGAAGACTGAGGCAGGAGAATCACTTTAACCCGGGAGGCAGAGATCCTGGTGGGCCAAGATCGCGCCATTGCACGCTACCCCGGGCAACAAGAGCAAAACTCCTTCTCAAATAAACAAACAGATAAATAAATACCAGATAAGACTAAGTGCTTTGCTTTACTCTTCACTAGAATGAACCCACAATTACAACCGCTTAACTGTAAGTGTGTGTGTGTGTTTACACACACATTGCTGGTGGAATAAGGAGAAAACAAAGCTCAAACTAATTCCTAACCTACAAAGTCCTCAATTTTCAGTAAAAACCAACAACCCAAACCAAAAAGATGTTGAAAGTTATGTTTTGAAAGCATTCATGCCACTTAAAAGTTTAAATTAAATAAAACTTCGCATAAACTAACGTTTTCCCACCTAATCTGTAACTAACGAGATTACTTTTGTTGTCTCCCATCTGGCCTAATGAAAATTCAGACTGGCAATGAGTTTTCAGAGTTGATTTTTTAATTTTCTTTTTTGAGAAGAACAGGGAAAAGGAGAAGTTGAGTAAGAACTAGGAAATGCTTGCTTTGTAACTGGAGGCTAACATTTTCAATACAACTACAAAGTCTAGTCAGGACCAATCCTGGAATACTGTACTTGATCTCGTTTTGGCCCCTAAAATACGGATAGTGACCTTGGACAAGTCACTTAATTCTTAAAGGCCTCAGTTTTCTCACCGGTAAAAACAAGGGCGCTAGGGTATCCCTCCCAGTTCAGACATTCTTAGGGAAAATAGAACAGGGCGGAGACAGCGGGAGAGGCGGGAGGGGAGGAGCCAGAAAACAAAGCGAGGACTGGCTTCAGGCCAACTCCGGTAGCAAGCCCTGTCGGAGAGCCCTACAGGCCCGCGAGCGCGGGTCGGGGACGCTAACGAAAGACAGTACATCGAAAGGAGCCTGGGCTGGGCCCGGGTCCCGGCCCTGAGGACCACGGGCATAGCTCACCACCATCACCGCGGGCGAGGGCCGTCCCTTCCCAGCGACGAAATGACCCTTGCGCTGACGACCGTTACCTACCACACTCTTCGGCTGCCCGGACTTAGACCCTCAGTAGCTCGGGCACCTAAGCACACAGAAAGCTAGAACACGCATTTCCGGGGCGGGGTCTCACCACCCTGCCTATAATGTGAGAATTTAACCAGCGCGGGCCGCCTCCTGGTCGCTAGGCCCTGTGGGTAAGAGAGTTCAGACCTTGCCGTCGCACGGGCGTTAAGTACTTGGAGAACTACATAGCCCAGCATGCAACAGTCTAAGCTTTTTTCGCGAACACTACATTTCCCAGAAGGCAGTTCGCACCGCAGTGTTTTCTGGGATGGGAACCACGCCGCTTCCCAGTCTCAGTGCGAGGCGTGAAGCGCGGAGCTTTCAACAAGAGCGTTATTAATTCTCACGCTACGACCCTGGAAAGCGATGGAGGTGGCGGCTAATTGCTCCCTACGGGTGAAGAGACCTTTGCTGGATCCCCGCTTCGAGGGTTACAAGCTCTCTCTTGAGCCGCTGCCTTGTTACCAGCTGGAGCTTGACGCAGGTGGGAAGCGGCGGCGCCCTTCGTACTCCTTTCGTTTCCCCTTTCGGCTGCCTCCGGCCTGGCCCTTCCCGCAATTTCTTTCTTTCTGGCAAGCGAGGCATAGCTCACCACCTCACAGCGGCCTTCCTCACAGCGGATCTGACTTGGGTGGACTCACCCTGGCCGCTGCTTCTGGGGAATGATACCCATCCCAGAACCCGGTGTGAACCGCCTTCGCGCGCTCTTCGGTGACGGGAACTTGGGCCCCCTCCACTCAGCAGCCCAGCCTCTGAGGTCTGAGGTCTGGCATGTGGGTGCTGCCTGGGGCCCTGGCCGCTCTGTGTTCACAGCCTGGCCTCTGTTTCGGGGGACGCTCAGGACATAACTTCCCCCTGGAGCATCGCTTGTGAACGTGCGCGTTGAGAAACCACACCTCCTTGGAGGACCCCCAGCTCCTCTTTCCTCTGACTGAGAGCCGTTTCTTAGAAGAGAAACTACATTCCAGTCATAGCATTTTTAGTTTCTCAGGTCCTGGCACATTAAGAATTCTGTGGTCATTCGAAGATCGTGAGGAAAAGTTGATTTAGCTCCCACACTGCTACTTTTTGTTTTATCTGTAGCTGGGTAGAATATCTTTACTCTTGTTTTTACAACTTAAGAACTGCATTTCCGTTATGATAGAGCCCAGAGATCTGCATTTTAAAATGCAAATCCCTGCTGATTCTAATGCATGTTCTCAGAGATCACACTTGGAGAAATAGTGATCTAGAGTTAATTATAATAACAGACATTAAAATATAAAACAGGTGTTTGCTAATTGATTTATCAAATTCAGAAATATTTACCGACTGCGTGTTTTGTGCTGATAATACCAAAATGAACAAGACACCGTCCATAACGGAAGAGGACTATTAACAGGAAGAAAATTGTAAACAGATAATTATAAAACCATATGGGAAGGCAGTGTTAGGGATATGCACAAAATACAATGGTAGTACTCGAATATCTTTCCTAAATGAGCCTGGGGATCTGGGAAGGCTTCTTGGAGGAGTTAGTATCTAAGTTGAGCTCTGAAGAGTGGGTAAGAGTTGACTAGGATGAGAGAGGATAAGCTTGATTTTTCTTTTTATTTGCTTCCTTTTCCTCTTTGCCATCATATTTCTTCCAATCACCCGATGTCAGTAGATGGTACCGCTATGCTTAGTTAGCTAGTGCATTAAAAAGTGAAGCCAAAACTCTGGCTCAAAATCAAAAACAGTTGTTACTGCTCACAAGTCTACAGGTCTGTTGACTGAGTGGTTCTTCTAGTCCTAGTTGGGCTCATTGATGCATCTTTGTTCAGTAATGGATCTGCTAGGCAGCTCTGCTCATTTGGCTGGACTTCCTCATATGTTTGGAGGGTGGGGATGGGGTCTCCGACTATAGGCTGGTTTAAGATTATTTCAAATGGTCTCCTCTTGACTCTTCTTCATGTGGTCTCTTATCCGTTAGGGGAATAGCCCCGGTTGGTTCAAAGAGAAACTTGTGCTGGAGTCGTGTTGGAGTCATTTGGGGATTATTTCTTTTGGCCCCTGCCTACTTGGCAGCAAGTCCAGGCAGCTCCACATTTTGATATCTCCAGGCCTCCATCCTAGTCCAAATCAGAGTTATCTCTTGCCTGAACTGTAGTAGCCTCCTGACTAGCCTTCCTGCCTTCACTTTTGGGCTTCATCATTGCATTCTCCATAGGATAGTACTTACCGGCCTTTTAAATTCTATCTTGATATATTGTCTGTTTCCTCCACTAGACTATGAGTCTTTGAAAACAGTAATGTTTTTCTTTTGCTCACTACCCTATATCTAGCGTTTGGCACATAGTAGGTACTCAATAAATTGAATGTATGAAGAAGAGAAGAAATTGTCATGGTCATTCCATTCATGGGCAAGCAGGAGGAAAGAAATAATTAGTAGGTTGTATGTTGGACGTTATTGCACTCTTAGATTGCTGGAGCAAAACATCTGGGAAAGTGAGAGGAGACAGATCAGTGAGGGCCCTGTTTGCCTTTTGGACTTTCAGGCATTCAGTGTTTCCCTGACATTTTTGTATTGAGCCATTACAATACAAAGTAAAACTCAGCTGCCATAGTTCTGTCAACTTTTCTGTTTACTAGGTGGAGATGTTTCTTAAAAACTATCATGTACTCACCCATCTTTTCATAAACAAAAGGATATTTTAACACCAAGAAAGCAGGAAGCGAAAATCTCACAATAAATAATCCATTGAATACTTTAACTTTAGAGAAAACTCACAAGTTTTCCTTGTTCCGTACTCATTTCATCAGCATTAATCTTAGATTCTGTGTTTGGGATGCACAACTGGAGGATATCAGGTGCCATTTGAAGATTTTATTTACTTATTTATTTTGACACTGAGTCTTGCTCTATTGCCCAGGCTGGAGAACAGTAGTGTGATCTCGGCTACTACAGCCTCTGCCTCCTGGGTTCAAGAGATTCTCTTGCCTCAGCCTCCCAAGTAGCTGGGATTACAGGTGCCCACCACCATGCCTGGCTAATTTTTTGTATTTTTAGTAGAAACGGGGCTTCACCATGTTGGCCAGGATGGTCTCCAACTCCTGACATCAAGTGATATGCCCGCCTTGGCCTCCGAAAGTACTGGGATTACAGGCATGAGCCACCTCTCTGGGCTGATTTATTTTCTCTTCGAAGTTCCAAGGTACATGTGCAGATGTGTGAGTTTGTTACATAGGTAAATGGGTGCCATGGTTGTTTGCTGCACCTATCAACCCATCACCTAGATATTAAGCCCAGCATGCATTAGCTGTTTTTCCTGATGTTCTCCCTCCCCCTACCCCATTCCCTGACAGGGCCCAGTGTATGTTGTTTCCCTCACTGTGTCCATATGATCTCATTGTAAAGCTCTCACTTATAAGTGAGAACATGTGGTGTTTTGTTTTCTGTTCCTTCATTAGTCTGCTGAGGATGGACTTTCAGCACCATCCCTGTCCCTGTGAAGGATAAGATCATATTCATTTTCATGGGTGCATGATATTCCATGGTGTATGAGTACCACATTTTAAGTAGAAGGGAAGTGAACAGATTTGGGAGTTGAAAAGCTTACCTCAGGCTCTGTGGAGGTTGAATTTGGAAGATGAAAGAACTGGAGACAAAATAGGAGGCTATGCAATAGTTCACAGAAGGGGTTTTTCATTAAGAATTACTTGAGGATGATGAAAAAGATTATTTCTTTTAACAACTATCATTTCTAGAGATATGAAGTATTATTGAGGAGGTCCTGATAATTTGATTTCCTTTATTCTAACCGAAGGAGTTCACTTTAATTCCGCAAACCTTTGATGGGCACCGTGGCTAGGTGAAACACTGCATTTAAGGTGTAAAGCTGATGTGGTGTCTGATGTCAGGAACTTGATGCACTGAGGCTTATTCTGTTGGTCTTAAATGTTGTTAAGTCATACCAAAATTTACTTTGCTACATAATCAGTAAATGTCACTTTGTCTTTTTCTTTTCCAAAGAACTAAACAAAAAACTTATTTTTAATAGAATTGTAATTGCCCTTTTATCTGGCAGTTCCCTTCCTAGGCATTTATAAATATCATTTTCCTAAAATCTTTATTTAGCACATGTCATTTTATATGCTTTTATATGTTTCCCACCTATATTTCACCTAACTAATTTATACTTCATTTTTTTCATGTTGGCTTATGCGTTACTTCCTCAGGGATTCCTTTCTTGACTACCTAGTTACAATCTACACTAAAGAATCTATACTATAATTTGCCATAGTAACCAGTACTTCATTGACATTATCATACTTCGTGGCATCCAGTATGTTTCTTTGCTAAGATTACTGATTTTGTATTGAAGGTCTTATGTCCATCATTTTCAATGCTTTATCTCCAGGATTGGAGCATGTCTGGTAAATGGGAGATAAATTTATCTCACACATTAAACAGCTTTATGAAGACATAATTGGCAATATACATTTAAAATGTACAACTTAACAAGTCATGATATATGTATACCCCAGTGAAATCATCACCACAATCAAGATACTAAACTTAGCTATCATCCCCAAAGTTTCTTTGTGCCCTTCTGTCACCATCTTTCTGTTCCTTCTGCATTTTAGGTTGACAGTTTTTTCTTTCAATACTTTAAAGTTATGCCTCATTCTTCTTATTTATATTATTTCTGATGAGAAATCTCACATTATCCTGTCTTTGTTGCTCTATATACATAACATGCCCTTTTTCTTCTGTTTTAAGATTTTTCTCTTTTACGTTGGTTTTGAGCAGTTTGATAATATTGTGCCCAGTCGTGGTTTTCTTTATGAGTCTTATGTTTGGAATTTGTTGGGCTTATACTTTTTATCAAGATCAATGGCAATATTCTGGCCATTATTTCTTCCCACTTTTTTTTCCTCTTCTCTCCTTTGAAGACTCCAGTTACCCATTTTTAGATCACAGAAGTTGGCCTCAGCTCATGAAATCCCATTTCGTTTTTTCTTTATATTTTTTTTGCTTTATTGCTGATAGTTACCATTTTTATGCCTTTAATTTTATCTTTTTTGTATTCGCAATATTAATCTCTTGTTAATCTCATCTGGTGTATTTTTCAATATTATTGCAAAATTACACCAGATATTAC